GGTCTTTTTGAGACAGGGTTCTCCGTAGCCACAGCTGGCCTGAAACTCGCTATGTAGACCATGCTGGCTTTGATCTCATACAAATATGCCTGCCTCTGCCTCCCAACTTTGAGTGCTGGGATTAAAGGCGTGTGCCACCAAGCCTGGCCATTCCTAGAATTTTAATTGACACAAAGAACAAAGGTAACCAGCAAGCACTTCTTGGCAGACCACAGAACTCACAAACTGGACTGAGGCTGAGCCACAAATTCCAGTAACATCACTAAAATGTCTGCAAACAGCAGACAGCTTTCTACATTCCACCTACAAGGAGACAATCTCCTCCAGGCCAAGATAGTGACTCTGATCTCCCCCAGGCCTGGCCAGCCTCTGCAGCAAACCCCATAGGACATTCTCTGCAGCCCAATGGTGCTCAGTGAGGACAGGGAGAAGGCCATTGTAGCCATGTTTCGATTTCTAATCAACCTAAGGCTGAGAATCTTCATCTTTCCAGATAATCAACAGGAAAATTAGTTCTCTTCTATTTTTTCAGATGGATTCTAGAAAGGACTCAAGACTAAATAAAGTACAACTCAATATAAAGATCACAAATGATGAATTTACACAAAAGGAAAAGTAGCTATTCATAGTGTCTGAGGCCTCCTAGATGTTGCCTTAAATGACTAGACTCCTAGGCAGCTGAGAGGCCCCTGGAGAATCACAGCTCTAAAAATGACTCCAGTTCCGGGAGAATCCGAGATCCTCGTCTGACCTGCTTGGGCACTGCACGACATGGGTGCACTTATAAACATACAGGCAATATCTTTGTACACACAAAAATAAAAATAGTAAACTTATTTTATTGTGTGTGGTTTTTTTTTTTTTTTTTTTTTTTTTTTTTTTGAGACAGGGTCTCCCTGTAGCCCCAGCTGCCTGGGATTATAGGTTTGTGCCCCAGCAATAGATTTTTTTTTTTTTTTAATGAACACATTAAAAGTTCTGCCTGTCTCTTGTTCAGGCATCTCACCCTGTGGTGGCACCACTTCCTTGCAGTGTCTCTTTTTAGAAGTAAGGGCTATCTCAGCACAAGGCAGTTCTATTCTCTTCTGGGCTACCTTAGGTGCTTCCAGGTGGGTATGGTAAGGCTGTGTGTCAAGGCTCAGAGCTGTTCCACAAGTCTGTAAGGACAGGGCTGTAAGCACATATCCTCAAAACTCAGGCTCCCGCTCAGGTGTTCTTATGGTTTCCAAGAGGCATGGCTCTAAGCAGGAGTTTGATTTCACACACATGAATATGTGTGTAACTCCTTTTCTCTGGTATGGACTTAAACCTAAAAAGAGCCATCCCAGCATGAGATCGAGACAGATGGAATTTTTTTCCTAAGCTGAGAGACACCAAGTTTTCCAGAGGGCAGAGCCAGCAGAGAAGTTGAAGTGAAAGAAAGGATGGAAGTGAAAACAGAGAAGAGGGGAAGGTGCATCCACACTCTCCAAACCTCTCACTCCTGTCTATCACATCCACCCTCTGAGACTCTAAACCGGCTGTCCCTTCTGCTCTGACCACATAGCCTCAGATGCTCCTTAAACTTCTGCTAATCAAAGAATTAGCAGGGGTCTTAAAGAATTTTGACCTGACTTTCCACCCAGTGCCTCCTGAGCATTGATGGGCTGACGGTTATATCGGACACCTGAGAACAAACCCAGATTTGCCAATATACCAGTGTGGCCATCTGTGGGAGGGGTTACATTAGATGTAGGGATCCTACAAGTAATCATGGCTCTCTATGAGAACAATTACTACTTACCTGACAGAAATGCAGAGACCAGCAATCTCTGCCTTGCCTGAAGATTAATATTTTCTCACTGTGGAGTTAAGTCACTACAACTCCAAATTCATGTCTATATTGAAGGAGAAAAGGACAGCACAGTTCCAACACTTATTAAGAAAGTGAAATCTCTTCCCAATACCCTAATATCTTACTGACTGGAATGGGCCACAAGGCCTTACTATCTCCCAAAGAAGAGGTAGTATTTAGGGCTAGGAACTAGAAATGGCTGGAATTCATTCACATCTGTGCATCTACCTATACACACATCTACCTACACACACACCCCTGCACACATGCACAGGCACACCTACCAGCAGACATGGCTCCCATTGGACACAGGATTTCAGCATGTTCTCATCTTTGTTTCAGCAATTCTGTGCAGTGAGGAGAGTTCCCATTGGAAGAGGTTGAAGGAGGAAACGAGTAGAAGCAAAGACAAGTTACATGTGGAATGTGAGCCATGAAGACCCACCAAGGACAACAACTGATGGATTAGAACCTCTGCTACAGCAACAATTTTTCCCTAAGCTGAGAGATAATGATTTTCAAACCAGCAGAAATGATGATGTTGAAGAGAGAAAGGAGCAGAGATGGGAGGCTGGCATGGGGGCTGAGCCTTGGACCAGCCCCAAAGGCCCAAGGGCTAGAGCAGCCTGTAAACATGTAGTGCATAGTGAAGTGAGCTTCCACATCACTACTGAATCTTTAAAACTTAACTCGCCAATGTACACAAGTTCATATTGCGTGCTACCCAAAAGTTCAGAAGAGATTTAAATATTACAGTCTTAAAATCAAGAAACAACTATTTTAATTCACATTACAAAAACCCCAGCAAGAAAACAATTTCAGAAAACAATCTTTAGTGAATGCTTTTTGATCAGTACTCACTGTAAGAATGCCACATTCAGCTGGTCACACAGTTTCAGCAGATCTAGAATCCAGTGGCCAGGACCTAGAGCAGGACGCTAGGGAGCACAGAGTCTGAGACCCTGCCTATAGACACTGCACATGTTCAGTGGCAGATGTGCTATCGCAGACAAGTCACTCATCATTTCAACTGTAACAGTGGCACACACACCACCCTCAAAGTTCCTCAAGTTTTCAGAGTGCCCTGATGCTCACAGGATTCCTGGCATGTACCCACCTGCCCCAGGATTTACTTCTGCCCCAGAGCTACATGCCCAAGAAGTTCTGAACCACCCTTACATGGAATGCAAATCTATAGCAGGATGCTAATGTGCATGATGTGATTGCTAAAACAGCATGCTCACCAAGTCATACTTTTTTTTTAGTTTCTCCCCAACCAAAATATATGGTGAGTGACTGAGGAACCAGCAAAGAACTCTAGGAAAACAACAATCCAGAAGTTTCTGGCATGAAAAGTCGTCCAGCTGGAAGGAGCCAAGAAAGCAGCTGGTAAGAGAAAAGGTAAGGATCCCCATCCTGAGACCTAAGAAAGACCAATGGAAGGGTAAAGAAAGTTGAAGAAATTTCTCTGGCTCTTCCCAGAAGACAGCAATGGTGAACTGAAGTTACCATACACACTGGGCCAGGAGGTCAGAGTCATGACCTACATGAGAGTAGATGCCAGCACTGGCCCCATAGAGGAGTGTGGTTGTATGCTCATCTGCCTCAGAAATCTACAAAACACTAAAGGTGATGGAGGTGGGTCTTTCCTTCTCACAGTTGTAGACAGGCAATGTTATGCTCAAATCAGAAGACACTCAGCACAGACAGATCCAGAACTAGAACTTCTTGTTCTATGGGTGAGGCTCTTCCATCACAGTGGGTTGACTGAAGAATACATAGGGCTCACAGGAACACACACCTTGTGACCTACATAGCTACCAGAGTTTGCAGTTACTTCTCAGCCCTGGCAAACTTGTCCTAAATGATTTGAACTTGAGATTCTAGCCTCTACTCTTAAAGCTTTTAAAGAGGGAAACTTCATGTTATCTATTCAATATAATTCAATCTGTTTTATTTACTTATGTCCTTAATATAAAATGATTCTAACGGAAATCTCAAATCTATTTACATTTGTATTTCACATGTATTTATCATGGATCATGTGCTCTATTTAAAATACTGGAAGTGGTCATGAACTCGAAGAACTAAGTTGGAATTCTATACTGAGTGAACAGTAGATCAATGAATGGACGTCTTGTATCCAGAGTTGATGCAGCTATGACTAGGAAAAGAGCACAGTCCTTTACAAGGACAGGCTCAGTTTTCTTGTATACCCTTGGAAGCTGCCTCTTACATCATAAGCACAGGACTGCCCTTTACACACTGCAAACAAAGCCTAGTATTTTTTTTTAATTACAAGCAATTATTTTTTTTCTTTTTATAATTATTACGAGTTATTTATATGCCTTGATTTTGTATGAAGTAGATTTCTATGCCTATAAATGAATGTTCTTCAGTATTTACACGGGATTTGTTCCAAGACACCAAAAATCCATAGACACGCAAGCCTGTAGTCCCAGTACTTGGGAGGCAGAGGCAGGAGGATCTCAGTGAGTTCAAGGCCAGCCTGGTCTACATAGTGAGTTCCAGGACAGCTGGGGCTAGAGGGGGACCCTGTCTCAAAATGACAAAAAAAAAAAAAAAAAAGACAAAAAAAATCCTTTATACAAAATGACCCAGTATTTGTACATGTCCTGCATACATGCTTCTGAGGCTTTAGTCATCTCTAGATTACTTATACCTAATGCAATGCAAGTGTTATAGAAATAGTTTTTTTATGCTGCATTGTTTAGGGAATAATGACAATGAAAGACGTCTGTACGTGTTCAGTATAGATGTAGTTTTTAAAAATTAGTTTGTCTATGTATAGAAATTATGCATACAGATCTTTATACAGGCCAATTCTGAATTTTTAATAAATACGTACACACACACACACACACACACACACACCTACAGATACACACTGTTAGGCCAGTTCTATGAACACCTGAGGTTCCCAGAACTAGCAAGGAGGCAGGAGTTGTCAGCATCTAAGATGATGACCATCCTGGAGTTGCTAAAGGATGACAATCCTTTTTTTTGTGAAGATACCTGAACATGCATTCCCTGCCCTTCCTGTGAAGTGCCAACCATAAGGGTAAAAGGCTAGAAAGAATGTTGACTCTTTGGTCACAGTATGGATGTCTCCATGGCTGTGACAATTGGTTGGTTATGTCTATACCTGTAAGTTCATAAGCTGTGAGGTCGATTTTCCTTGGAGACACAAGGCCTGAGCAATAAATGCATGCAGATCCTCCAGGCAAAGAGTATCCACCTGAAAACCACAGAAAAAGGCCAGTATTAGCCTATTGAAAAAAAAAAAATCAATACTTCTTATAAATATATCTCAGTTACCAAATATGGTCATATATACATGTGCACACGCATCCACAGGTATAGGTGCGCACATAGGAACACATACCTGTACACTGAATGATACGCCGAGGCAGAATATGACATGGGGGAAGAAAGGAAGCATAGTCTCCATTCTCATCACCCGTAACCCTAGGCCATAAAGCACTCAACAGTGCAATAGAAGCAATCCCTTCTGCACAAAATGCACAAAACAGATGAGTCAGAGATTCCCAAACAGAGAGTATACATAGCTAGGCTGGGGTAGGATGGTCAGAGATGGAGGAATGCCTCATTTTAAGAACCGTGGATAAATCTTTGTCCTTGGATTCCAGTAAAGTAAATCAGGGTCCTCCAGCCACATTTGAAGAAGTTGAAGCACTATGTTATTCACTTATTAAATAATTCCACTATCACACAAGAACTCTTTTTGAGAGGAAGGAGCACACTGTGAAGCAAAAGCCAGAGGTAAACAAACAATGACAAATCCAACACTTTCAGGATAATAAAATGCTAGTATGTATGCTTCCTTCAGATAAAATGATCAACCACAAACCTTGAAACTCCCCTGGAAACATGCTGTATAGCACTCGACACAGGCACACACTACTACTCAAGCAGAGACAAACTACCACTGAGATTCAGAGACAGTGACCTGTTACTACCCTGGCTTCCTGTTTACTCCAAAGGAGGCATCACTTTATAGGAACAACAGCAAGTCTAATTACTTCAGGGAGGAAAAACCTGCAAATGTATAGAATTTATGACAAAGCCAACTACAAAAGCATATTATTTTTTAAATCCATAAACCCCCATCTCGGCTCAGACTGAGATTCACTGGTATGTAAGTCTACTCACCACTAGTAACATTTGAAGGCTGATCTTAAAACAGTAGCCTGGAGAGATGGCTCAGCAGTTAAGAGCACTGACTGCTCTTGCAGAGTACCTGGGTTCAATTCCCAGCACCCACATGGCGGCCACGAACCATTCTTAACTCCAATTCTGGAGGAATTTGATGCCCTCTTCTGACCTCCGTGGCACTGCACAACATGGGTGCACTCACATACATGCAGACAATACACTCATACGCATAAAATAAATATTTAAAAAAAAAAAAAACAGTAGCCTAAGGGAACAGCCTAATTCCTTTCATGTGTCAAGTTTGCTCACAGATAACCAATCCTGACTGTCAACTTGATGGGATTCAGAATCATCATATAAACCAATCTCTGGGCAGATCTGTGAATCATACTTAAGTCATACTTAAATCATACTAGGTCAGTCCAAATTAGAGTAGTTTCACTGCAGTTTTGATACAATGAGTAGTATGCAACTTTGCCTCGTGTTGCACATTGAAAAGCTAATGGAAACTCAACTATATAAAACTATAATGTTTCATACTTTACCTTCCTAGCCTTAACACAGTATCCTAGAATTTTCAATCCTATGAATGAATATATAGCACCCATCTCACTATAACACCACTGACTTGTCAGTTTACTAATTTCTTATTGTGAAGGGTCCTGACTTAACACCTCCGTGTGCTGACTTCAGAGCTCGTGTTCAACAGAAAATTGTAATGAAAACTTTCCCCTAATGCTTATCTTATTTCAGGGTTTAATAATGGGGACAATAAGCTATGCTCTGAAACGTTGGAGTAGATTTTAAGAACTGATGCTTGCATGATAAAGGATGGAACAGAAGAGTTATGTTGAATGAACAGATGGCTCAAAGCCAGTGAAAATGCAATTAAAAATGTACATCCCAGGACTGCCAATGTAACGGTATTCCCAACACTATGCACACAGCAGTATGGTAAAACATTCATCTTTGTAAATGAGAAAACTGCTTTCTAGTTATCTACCCCTTTCCAGGTTCCCACCATGACTTAAACTTAACCCAGACAATTACAAATTGAATTTTTAAAAGTTAACTAATAATATATGCAAACATATTTAATATGTAGTATCAAAAATAACATTTTAACATTTAAATACTATATAATTTCAGCTTCCCTATGCTAATTTACACTTTGCTAAGTCTTGTACAGAAATGTATTCTACTCAATAGTAATGTACAAACTAATGTTCATGCTAATGCATGTGAAGCCAATAACAAAGAGATATGCCACACACTTTTACAAAATGTAAAATGCAGAACTAGCTATAGAATGAGTAGAGGCAAGAGGACACATAGAAAGGAAATGTCAGGGTACAGATGGAATTCCATAACAGGGTACATTATCAAAGACAGCCAATATGACTGTATCTGAGTAGAAATTCAATGTCATGCTTCAGCAGACCCACCCTGGAGGGAAAGTGGATGGGCGGGATAGCCTGACAGGACCAAGAGGCTTGAGAAAGTTCCCAACGGTGTGGAAGCAGATAAGTGCCAACTGTAAGACAAGCTTGCAGCAAGGTGAGAAGGAACCAGAGTGAGGACGCAGAGGGCATCCTTAGCACTTCTTTAAAGTGTCCAACATCATCACAAATGTAGAAGACTATTAATAAGGCAAAGCTTTAATTGGCCTTTCTAATTTTTCTGCACAAAGTGCTTGGAAAGCTAACAAGTAATAAGTAGACAAATGTGTTAAGAGACACCAAGGTGAGGAATCTGGCACTGCAGCCTCAACTGCGCAGACTGTGGCCTGTACACCTGAGTTCCTTAGAGTGGGAAGACTTTAATGATGAGGATGATAAAGATAAGCAGTAGATATTTTGCTGGGAATTTCTATAAAACATGCCACATTTTCTAGAATGTGACTGTCCAATAACCCTAGCAAGTAGCTATATTATTTCATTTCCAGATTTTAAAAAAGTACTTAGTTAACACTTTTGGGTGAAGGATGGAAGGTACCCTAGAAAAGCTGAAGTAATTGCTCAGAGGCACAACATTACCAAAAAAGCTAGGACTGAGGCAAGGTGGAAAGGTTTCTTCAGCATTTCATGAGACCCTAGGAGCAGGAACCACTTCTGGTAACCCATGAATTCTCACCAAGCCCTACATCCTGAGAAAGCTAAACCAAAGCCAGATAGTTCCAAAACACCCACTCTTGTATGTCTCACCATGCCTGGTTTTAACAGCAGACAGGCTCTCAGTCCCACCACTTCTCCGAACTTCCTTACTGCTTTAGGGCATCTTGGAGGACTAATGGTGTTCTACAGAACAGATGCTGGGGAAAAAGGTCCTGGGGACTGGCCTGCAGAAACACTCACAGCACTCCAGAAAGACAAAACCAGAAGTACAGAGCAGTTGCAGTCATGACAGTGAGTTCAACATTACCTGAACAAAGAGGTAGATCAGGAGGCAGCACAGAGCTTTCAATGGGTTTTCAACTGCCTGAAGCTCTTCTCTTGAGGAGGAAAGGTTGAAGCAGGCTAGCAGTGTATCCAGGCGCTGGGCCTGTGCTGCTGGCTCTTGGCTCAGCCACAAAACTTCCAAACTAGGTGTTCCCCCTTTAAAAAAAAGAAAATAATATATACATATACATATACATATGTGTGTGTGTGTGTGTGTGTGTATATATATATATATATAGTATTAGTATTAGTATAATATACTTCTGGAAGTACAGTGAAGCACAATTAATTTCTTCCCTATCTGATATACTTGGAGCTTCTAAGCTCAACCGAACCAGAAGGCAAATATGAGCACAGCTTCCTGGTTTCAAACAAAACAAACCTAAAGGGCAGCACACACCCCACTGAACACCTTCCCTTCTTTTTTAGTAACCAGGTTTATAGGGAAATTGGGGCTTTCACTCATGCTCATGTTACACATCCTACTTTAGGAATACTTTTCAGAAGAGACTTAACCCTCCATTCAAAGATGTAGCAAAAGGCTGGTTATTAGCAAGTCTTTAGTTGGTTCTAACCCCTACAAACTGGTGGTTTTGAAACTTTTGTGTCCAAAAGAACCAGCCGCAGAGACTTTATGATACATTTAGGAGACTTATACAGACCTTTTGATCTCTGAGGTATGTGTGCTGGGAACTATGTGTATTTAAACAAACTACAAACATGAGTTCTCTGAGCTCTATGCTCTGGAAAGCATTTCTCTAGAACCATCAAACAAAACTACTGAAAGGTAATTGTTAGTGTTTCATTTCTACATTATGCATGTACACAGAAAACATTATTAAAATAAAAAAGGCATCCTTACTTTTTGACTTGACAAGGACAAACTGCACTGAATATGGATGATACCCTCTGGATATGGCAAGTACACAAACAAGAAGGTGCCGGTGTCAGAACTTTGATGAGTAACACCTCTTCCTGCAGCTGTGGTCCTCTGTAGGGGCACTAGCTGAAAGCAGGTGCCAAAAGTCCAGAGCCATCAGGGTGAAATGTCCCACATGTTCACCATGAAAACAAAGCAGGTAACCAAATGGTACCAGAACCCAATGACTCAAAAGGAAATTCTCTTTCTTCCTTTGTTTCTCACACTGTCATTCACTCCTCTCAGTGGTGAATTTCCCACCATCAGAAACTAAACAACTTAGTAAGTCATTAGCATTCCTGAAAGGCTGATGTGTTCCCTCTACCCAAACCACCTTGTCACTATTAATTTTACAGTAAAAAATTTCTCTTGAAAGAAAACGCTGTATCTAATTAAGTCATCTAAGAGCCTCATATGTAAGAGGCAGCACTCCAAGGTAATAAAGGGCATCTGAGTCTTAGAAACGCTCTCAGTGTTAGGATGGGCCGCTACTGACAAGCCTGTAAACTAAGAATTGTCATTTCTAAATGGCTGAAAGAAAATCAAAATAATTTTGATAAATAACTTTATAAAAATTTTATAAAAATCCTAACCTCAAGGTTCAGCAAGTTTTACTTGAATGTTGCTGTGCTCAATCGTGTGCATGCATTTGTGCCTTCTTCCAATTTTATAACATACATTACAATGAATTAAAAAAACCACAGAGCCTATCACATTTAATATGTGATGCTTGCAGCAAAAGGCTTGCTAATCTCTGATCTAAGGGAAGGCACCTCCACTATCATAGTTTGTTCAAATATGCTAAAGCATTTAGGTAACATTTTCTACTATAATAGTTGGATATTGTAAATTACTTTAAATAAAAAAACAAAAGCAAAGAAAAGTAAAACATCTAATTTTCCACCAGACATTACTGTATTTTAGAACACAGGTATAGAATAGTGTTCAGATGGCCATCTGTTCCATCAGAGCACTGCCGTGGGGAGTAGAAAGAGTTCACTTTGTTCAGTCCAGCAGATCCCAGCCTACAAGTACCTGCCCATTTCTTCATGAAAAAGACATTTCCGAACACATTACAGTTTACTATTAAAAACTTGGAATTTGTGGAATACATCCAGAATCACGGACACTGGTGATGATGAATGAGAAATTTTCTGATGATGCTCACTCATGGCCCTCATTCCTTCAGGGATGTAATTCCAAAAGATAGCTTTATATATTCAGGTAAAATGCTAAGTATCTAATAAAAGATAAGAGAGAGCTGGGGGTAGGCTCAGTGGTAGAGTACTAGTCCAGCATTTATGAAAGTCTAGGTTTGATCACCAGCACTGCAAAATAAAAGAAAATCAAAATGAGTCAACTGTTGATCAGTTTTTCTTTTTCACTTCTTGTCACAGAAATTTCTGACAGAAGGGTCAGACCTGATGAATTCAATCACTCCACTACTGTGTATGATGCCTATAATCACAGATATCCCGTCAGTTTCTAAGCAGCTCCATAAAAATGACAACCAACTGTGCCTTGGAAGGGTTTACAGAAAAAGATGATACAAACAAACTGGAATTTAAAACTGCAAAGATTAAGAGCCAGAATGTAGCTTTGTAGTAGAGTACTGTCTAACACACAGAAATTCCTGTGTTCAATCCCCAGGTGCGTAAGAAAAGAATGCAAAGATTTTACCACAAAATTACTGAAGGTCAAAGGGAATAACAAGCAAACTGGGGAAGTGGTAGTAAGGAGGTTTTCATGAAGAAATGGGCAGGCACATGTGGGCTGGGCTCTTCTGTATGAAGACTTCTGGAACTCTTGCTTTCTTCCAATCTACCCACCTAGCCAAACACTGAGTGTATTAAACATGAGCACAGATGAGAGTGCACTAATGTAGATGGTAGGGAAGTTTCACCTCTGTTTCCTTTGCTTACATATCAAAGTTTAATACTACATTAGTTACCTAACAGCAACGAAAGAACAAGTTATTTTGGCTCAGAGTTTCAGAGGATTTCAGTGTATCATGAGGAAGACAGTGGGACCACAAGGCAGCAGCTGTTTACATAGCCAGGAGCAGAAGACTTAGGCCATAACCAAAAGTAGACAAGGTGTGCCTCTAGTGACCTACTGCTCCAGCTAGGCCCCACCTCCTAAAGCTTCCAAAACCTTTACCATACCACAAGCCAAGGACTGACTGCTGAAAATAGGAACCTGGAGCTGGAGGGGTGGCTCAGCGGTTAAGAGCACTGACTGCTTTTTCAGTGAAACCCCGGTGTGATTCCCAACACCCACATGGCAGCTAACAACCATCCATGACTCCAGTTCCAGGGGATTCAATACCTTCTTCTGACCTCCGTGGGCACTGTATGACATGGGTGCACTTACACACATGCAGGCACACACAAAAGTAATAAAAATATTAGGAGCCTGTGGAGGATTTTCCGGATTCAAGTTATAACAAATATTAAAAATAGAGATTTATCGAAAATATTCAGGAGCAATTATAGAAGCCAATCATCCACAGAACATCTGCTTCTGACTAACTGCCACATGTGACACAATGGTGTGCTGAAGGCCCAACTGGGAACAAGATAAGCCAGTGTCAGGAGCCCATGGCCTAGGGAAGCAACAGGAAATAACCAAATGATGACACTAATACAGCCATGGCAAAAAAGTGCCATGAAGAAATGAGCTGAGACTGAAGAAAGAGGATTTGGCTAAGGTGAAGGGGCGTTCAGAGAAGGGAACCTTCCAAGGCCTTCAGGATGGAGCCATGGAAATAAAACAGTGAGCCCAAAGGGAAGTTGTACTCATGTCTGTGCTTAGGAAGAGAACTCCGGCTGCAGTGGGAACTGTCTGGCAACATCAAAACAGACACAAAGAGGGCAGGAGAGGAGGAGCAGCAGATGGGTCTCAGGAAAATCCTAAGAGAAGCTAAAGTGGTATCTGCTGCACTGGAAAATAGAGCCATTTCAAGTATGGCTCTGCAGTGCCCTCTCAGAGAAAAGCAGAATGTCCAGAACAGTACCAGTGCTATGAACAGACTGGCTTCTTTGGCTCTTAGTGTTCAAAGGCTATAGGCACACTGCTGACATATCAGTGAACAAAGACAACCTACAGAATTGTCAGGTTTCATTTTCTACTTCTCCCCACCCCCACATCTGTTTTTTGTAGGACTAGCAACCACAGTATCACCTGGGAACTCAGAGGTGCAAAGTCTTATGACCACCCCACTGTATACTTGATTAGAAAATCTGGGGAATGGGGTACCAATGGTATTTTTACACTCAGGCTAGAAGATTCGGATGCACACAAAGTCAAATCAGTATCCTTCACATCAGTCACCATTTACACTAGTAAGTATAACTTACCAGTAATAAGAAATTGCCCCTTAAGGGGCCACCAGAATGAGAAAACATGAGCCAAATCTCTTGTTATTTTTAATTTTTATGTCAATGTGTGTGTTGCAGGAATTTATGTACACCACATGCATGCAGGAGCCTGTGGAGGCTGAGAGTGGTCATCAGATCCCCTCGAACTAGAGTTACAGATGGTTGTAAGCTGCCATGTGGGTGCTGGGAACTGAACCCAGGTTCTCTGCAAGAGCAGTTAAGTGCTCTTAACCTCAGCCATTTCTTCAGCTCAGAAAAAAAAACAATCTAGATTATTTCTTTTTCTTTTTTTTGGTCTTTGTTTTGTTTTGTTTTTGGTCTTTTTGAGACAGGGTCTCCCTATAGCCGCAGCTGTCCTGGAACTCACTATGTAGACCAGGCTGGCCTTGAACTCACAGAGATCCGCCTGCCTCTGCCTCCCGAGTGCTGGGATTACAGGCGTGCGCCACCACGCCCGGCCCGGTTGTTTCTTTTTTATAGTAAACTCTAAGAAAAATGACTAATTGGTGGCTGAGACTACCCCAAAAGAGAGGGAATTGTTAGTTAAATAATTTCACTTTCTAAGAAGCATATGTTTAGCAGAACTAGAAGGTGATCAGCTCAGGAGAGCAGCTCAAATTAGCTGGCATAGAGAACTACACACAATCTTGTCCACACATGATATAAACGTGTATACACACACACACACACACACACACATACCCTTCTCACACCCTCAGACACACTTTCACTCAATGATACACACAAGCACACATTCTCACAGATACTCATTCTTTCTCAACGTATATATTCTCTCACTCAAATTCTTCCTCATTCATATACACATTTGTATCTAGGTCCTCGGATAAGATAAGCCA